ATCAACCCCCCCCCCCCCAAAAAAAAAACCATGTTAGTTTGTCAAAGGTTTTCTGTTTTGACATACTCCAGTAAAATGAAACCTGGTTTCCTGCTAGTCCAGTGGGCAGGCTGTGGATCCAGGGACTGGGAGGGGAGCCTGGGAGCCCTTGGAAATAAGGACTCCTCAGTTCCCACATTTCCTGCTGTAGTCTCAAGTGTGCAGGAACCAGCACTCAGCTCTCAGCTCTGCAGAGGGGAGCCTGGGGATGCAGAAAATGCTGGTTTGGCTGAGATCTGCAGGGTCCCTTCTGCAGAATTGAATGATGTTACTTTTGCCAAATGTCCCAAGGCCTATGTTTCTCACCCTCAGATGGGAAGCTGAGAAATGTTCAGAACCCCACAAGGACTGGGATGCTTGAGCTTCTTACAGAAGTGGGTTTATAGCTGGTAGTCATGACAGAGATCATGAATAATCAGGAGTATAGAAGTTAAGGAAGTTTAGCTAAGCCAGAGGGGGCCTCTAAGCTTAGAAGGTGGGACTTTTAAATGAGTTTATTTAAAAACATTTTTTTAAAAGTGGTTATTTCAAAGTATTTTTTTCCTCTTAGACAAGGCTTTTCAAAATTGATCTTTTTGACATTTCACAGATATGGCATTTCATGGAACAGAAAATCCTCTTTTTAACAGCTCTGCTTTTAGCAACAGTCAATGCCAGGCTAACGCTCTGCCTGAGTTATGTTGACAGAACCCAAAACTTAATCAGATGATTTTTCTCCTGTGCTTTTGTTATTGTATTTTACTCCCCACGTGACTCAACCGTGCATTCATTACATTCTCCCTAAGGTTCACTCTAGATAGTTCTTGACGTTAACGTATCAACAGGCAGCTGCAGTAACAAGTGAGAGAAATTATGAGTTAACACATATTTCAAGAGGAAGATACTCCATTACCTGGAGTTTTCCTCATTTTTTGTGGGTACTAGCTTTGAGTTCAGTATTTCAACAGTGAACACATAACCACTGCACTCCTTTTCAGAGAAAAGCATGTGACTGCTTGGTTTTTATGGTAAGTCTTTATTTTTTATTTTATAAAACATTTCAATAAACGTGTTCTCTTCTGTAAGCAAATAAACTAGAAGAACTTGGATTCATTTTACTTTTTGGTCAGAACATTATTTTTTTAGCTCATATGTCACCTTGTAAAAAATCCATTGATGTACAGGTATGTCTATAGCTCTAATTAAAGACCTGAGCTGGAGGAATTAATGTGGTGTTTACTCACCGTTTTTCAAGAACATCATTGTGCAGCCACTGCAAAGAACCACACTGAGGCTTCCATGTAGCCACCATAGTCAGTGTATCTTGAACATATGTAAAAGAGTGGCATGTACCATGATACTTCCCCACCAAATACAGGGAGGGAGCTAGTTTGGCTAAGAGATGCAATAATGAATTCAGAGTAACATTGCCATTCCAGGCAGGCACAATAATAAATATAGTGCTTTGTCGGTGAAAACCTTCTGCAAAGCCATACTCCCTCCTCTGGAGCTCTGAGGAAGCTGTCTGCTGGTACTCTACTGTTAATTTCTGTAATCACACCAGGATTTAACATCAGCGTCCCTCATCTTAGACTGATTTATTTTCAAAACTGGAAACAGGTACAATAGTTTGTTCTGTCAAATCAATTCAAGTATATTTTATTGTACCATTGGAGTCTCTGATTGTCTTTCTCACACAGCTTGTTACGCTGATGCCTCAGAGCTTGTTCTTGTATGAGAGTGGAGAAATGAGCCTATTACACCAGTGAGGGCGACCCAGAAATCCCTGTCTATTTCTAAAAGCTGATTTAGCTTCTGGTCCCAGACAGACTGTGGTCCCATGCATTGGAGAAAGTACAATGTCAGATTAAAAACTGGGATTCTGCAGAGTACATCCAGAGTCAATAAATGGACTTTAATTTTTAAAGGTAAAAATGTAGTATTAGTAATGGTTAGCTCCTTAGTTTCTGGAATGTTATGAAAACTGTTAAGTCAGTTGAGCCAGTATAATGAATCTGTGCTAAGGCTGTCTAAGAACTGAATGGGAATACTTGCTTCCAAAATGCAGTGACATTTCATAGCAGGTTCATATATCTGCTTTTGAAGGTAAGAAGGTAAAACTCTTTAAAAAAACCCCAGCCAAAATCCCAAAAACAACAACAAACAAAAAAACACCCCCAGAAATCCCACACACGGCCAGTTCCTCCATAGGTATAAATTTACATAATACTTTTGAGTTCAGTGAATCTTTGAAAGTCCATGGAAGTTCAGAACCTGGTTCAATGAATTGCAGTCTCTGGAATGGGCTTATATGTGTATCAATATCGGTATTTTTATCTCCACTTTCTTTATTTTCTTGGTAGTTCAGATATATCTTTGTATATTAATGAAGAAGATTGGTTTTATTGTGAGCTTCATCTTTCAGAAAGATTGTTTTTCATGTAATTAGGAAAAAATGGTGTGTAATTATTCTTCTTAATGAACTGGTAGGGAAGATCATATTGGAGTTCATAACCAACAATGGACTTCAGCATTCCCTTGTTTTTTTGCGATTCTTTGCACCTTTAACCTAAAACATTAAAAATGTTATGAAATTAGTAATGAGAGGTTTTGAATTGGAAAAAATGAACCATATCTAGTTGAACCACGAAATATCTATGTTGTTGGAAGGCTGGCATTATCAAAAGAAAAACAGATTTTATTTTTTTTTCAAAGTCATTTTAATCACATCAGCAGCAAGGAATGTAAATATTCATATACTACAGATTGAGACTGCTCTGAAATGTTCTGACAATCTGTTATGTTTTGAGTGATGTTTCAACCCTATCACTTGGGGTTTTTTGTTTTGTTTTTTTATGACTATAAAAAAACCACTACTCATCTGTGTCACATGCTGTACAGGATAAAAAGGCTTTCAGTTTTCTTAACAAGAATCAGACGGCCAGGGTGCTGCTGGAACGCAGAGAATATGCCACTGTCTGGTCAAAGTACAGCTTAATGAGCCAGACTAAACACACCGGACAATAGAGCTGGGGGGGGAAAGGGCTTCTCGTGGATCTGTGGATCAGCTGCAGCTTTAACATCTAACTAGTTTCATTTTTCATCTTACAAGTTCCATTTCCCTGTTTTGTTGGTATAAACTACATTTCAATGAGCGGACTTTCCTGCCTAGGTGACGGTATTTTGTGCTTTGAGAAAGGACATCGTGGATTATGCTAGAAATATTTTCTGTGTTTCTTTTTTCTCTCTTAGTCACGACCTATTCCCTCACACCTTACTTCAGCAGTTGCAGAGAGTATCCTGGCTTCCGCCTGTGAGAGTGAAAGCAGAAATGCTGCAAAAAGGATGCGCTTGGATAGACAGCAGGTACTGTGTTGTTTGGGGGTCTACCACATCCATATTTATAAATTCACTGGACTCATTTACATAGGATGCCGTGCAGAAGGGTGGTGCAATCCCTTACACATTTCTTGCTAGCAAGAATAATTAAAACACAAAAGCTGTAGTTCTTTAAATGAATACACAATCATGTCTTTGTCTATATTTACATAAACTCTGTGAGGGTGTCTAGTATGTTTACAATGTCCAACTGGATAAAGCTATATATTTTCTTTTTAACGGTTGTAGGTTTTGAGTGCATAGTATGTAATCTGCACACTAAAATTAAAAGGAACGGAACATACACTATGTATAATTTACATAAATAACAGAAATGGTGCATGTATCCATGAGTCAGAGTGTTTATCTGTGCACATATTCTCTTTCAAAATATGTATGCATTTGTAAATGTAAAGGGAAATAGTCTAGGTTTCTGAAAATACTTATTTGCCTGAAACAGAAACGTTATTGTGATATAATAGCAAAATGTTGTGAATTAACTTATTAGTGAGTTTTTAAAGCTCATAGCAATACTTTTTTTTTCTTATATGATTATTCACTTATTAAAGTGCATGTTAGGATTTCATTATTTTTAATTTGCTGAGAATAGCATGTTTTCTTTTGATTTTTTAAAATCAAACTGGTAGCTCATTCCAGGCTTTGATTATTTAGTTGCTCCACAGATACAGTGAATGTCTAACATTCTTATTACAAAGACTGTTATGTTTTATTTCTCTTCATGATTATCACAAAGTCAAATCTTAGTAGTATCTCAGTTGTTCCAAAATATGCTTCTGTCATGGTAGATGACCTTTTTTGTGGAAAAGAACATTTTTTTAAAGCAAAGTTTTCCTTTTATACATAGTCCATGGAGTTCTTTCAGGTCATGCCCTAACTCAGTAAAGAATTCCTACTAGTAGCCCTAGAACATTGATAGTTTAGGATCTGAAAGTGGATATTGCTATTTCTTTTTTACTGTTACAGTTTTTGCTAGTATTTTCGTTCTTGCGGTACAGTTGCCTTAAATTTACAAATCACATGGGATGTCAAAGTAGTGTAATGTTAAATAGTGCTCATTCAGATTGTACAGGTTTTATATTCTCTCATTTTTTCTCGGATTTTTCAGTAGCAATTTAAAAAAAAAAGCTACAAAGTCGATGTGCTTACCCCAAGGAGAACTACAAGAGACTTGTGCATGCATCAGTTACTTTCACTGCACAAAACTAGTGGCTCAATTCCTTGGTCCAGCCAGGGTGAGGCAGAGTTTTCGAGTGATTAAGATGAGAATCTCTTAATAGTCTCCAAGGATCCAGAGAGCTGTTGGGGAAAAAAAAAAACAAAACACACCCAATTTTAAAACTGTAGATAGAACTCAAAAAGCATATTAATAGGGTTTTTTGTTTGTTTGTTTGTGGTAGTACTATCACAAAAGGATTTGGTAACAGTTATCACTGAAGGGAGAGCTATTTCTTTACTTTTCATTACAGAAGTCATAATCTGTAGGCAGAATTGCTCCAAACTGATCACCTTAATTATATTTATGATCTTAAGGTAGCAAAGCTGCCTACGAAGAACAGGTGTTGGGTTCTGCATCCTTCAGCTCTGCCCTCTTTTTGGCAGTGAGTTCTGGGAACACTGTGGAGACAGTTGCAAATAGTACCAGTCATTTGATTCAGCAAGCAGTAAATTAGCTTGGTTGATGTATTTTTGGTGCTTGTAAAACTATTTGTGAATTCAAGATAGATAAACTGAATAGTTTTGGCTGGAAAAAATTATGGGAATATGTGTTAGGTAGCTTCATAAAACTCAGAGTGAGAAATTTACCCTGCAGGGTAGAATAATTAAGTCATTAGAGAAGTAGAAAACCTTGGTTCTAGCCCCAGTTTCATTGAAATTGAATTATTTATTCCAAGTATGTGACATTAACCAAGTAGACTGAGAGCAAAGCATTCCAGAATATTTCTGGGTGGAGTATTTAACACACAGTAGTGTGCTTGGTTCTTATGCTGAGAAGGGAAGTGGACCTGTATGCTCACGTCCAGGGAGAGTGCCTTCTAAGTAACAGGGTTCTATCATTCTCCTCTTCCTATTTTTTCCTTTTACTTACTTCTAAATTTCCTTAACTTTTCTTACATATGTCCAAAATGAAATATTTTCACTGTTTTTTTTTTTTCTTAAACAGAGTAAGGTTGAAGAAGTTCTGTTCACCATGTTGTTTTTACTGTTCCATAGCTTTTTTCTTTTCAAACATAAATTTCCAAAATTGGGCATTATACCAGTGGGTGGACTCAGGCTTGGAGGACCCTTCAGTGGAAATTTGGGAGGAGGAAAGGGGAAATGAGATTCTGATAATGAAAATTACCACAGCATAAACTCTATCAAGAGATCTGCTAGTGGAGGACCAGCATTAGATAGTCCTGGAAAGCAGATTAAGAGGATCTGGTAAGAGCACTCATTCGGCACTTCCCCTTAGAGCTGAACAGAAGCATTGCATTAAAGCTGCTTTATTCTTGCACACAGCACAGTGAAGGTCTGCCTTTTATTCTCCAGAGGGGTGGTCTGCCTCAAAGTGAGATGTAATTTGCATCCCCGCCACCACCTTTTTCAGAATATTGCCCATAAAATGTGAATGTATTAAGAACATAGTGTTATGTCCAATCCTGAAGCTATGACAAAACTTCAGCAGCTACCTTAACTCCTTTTCTTGTCTTGTGTATGCTCTTTCCTCCTCTTCTCCACTTCTTCTCCTCTCCCTGGCACAACACGGTCCCTGAGCAGTGAGTTCTGAGCATGTTGCATGTACGTGCATAATAGAAGTCTGTACTTCCATAAAATAATACGAATTTCCAAACTAAATATGTTTTTGGCTACAATGTTAATTTTAAGAGTGGTTTGATGAAAAACCAGCTCCATTATTGCTCAGCAAAAAGAACCAGCTTAAAAATCAAAACTATGGAAACTTCTAGGAGCTCATTTTTTCATTTGAACAGATAAAGTATTGGCCATGCTCACGACTGTTAGCTGTTTCTTTCACAAGTATTAAATGTGAAGGTTTGGCTTTGTATATTTCTAATCCTGTGCACAGATTCATTATTTCTTCAGAAGAAACATCTCTAATTTTGTGTGTGTCTGTGTGCATTCAAATATGACATCTTATGAATGATTTTCTAGAAGTATTTGATAGCTGCAGTGCTTAATATAGCCCTGATCTAGTGGTATCGTTAAGTATGCTAAATTTCAGTCTGAAGCAGGACAAAGCCATCATTTTACCTCTATGCCTCAAATTCTACTCACATGATCTTTGTATTTGTTAACTCAGTTTTAAAAATGAGTTAATGAAAACTGGTCTCACTGGTATCAATTAATTATTTTCAAAATAATTTTTTTTCATGGCAATTATTTATTTCATATTGGGAATCTCAATGTAATCTTTTATGTCAGGAAACAAGTACCTTCCCATAGTTTTTGAAACAGTAACACTAAAAGCATTGTCAGTTTCTGAGACTTCTCTGTAAGGAATATAAATGTGTTTACTAGGTCATGGTAGCTTGGACTGTAATTCTTTGGCTGTCTGACCGTGTTAGATGTTACTGAAGTGTCTCTTTAGCTTCAGTGCGTTTTCATTATCTTGTGATCAAGCTCTGTTGGTTGGCCTGTAGCTTAAGTCCCGAGAAGTTGCATATTTGATACCTGTTACCTGACTGAAGAGTTCTGTCACTTCCACTTTTTCATTCTGCCTGATATTAAAAATAATTTATTCCCTTTCACAAATTTTGTAGATTTATATATTGAAATTGTATAGGTTTACTGATACTACTGCCAAATGGTGAAATGCTGGTGGCACTGAGCTGGATTTGGTTGATCTTTCCACAGTCCAGATCAGGCAGTGGGTACAGAGGCAGTGCAAAGCTTCTGTGTTGTTCTCCACATTGTCTCTGCTAAGTCTGGATACTGCAAAAGCGTAACTCTAGTCTTGAATTTTGAGGACTTTTTTCATCTCAGTTGATAAAAAATGTAGAAACAATAATTGGATCGACCTTCTATGACTTTCTTCAGTCTGAGTTAGAAGAGGCATGATCTGAATCCTTCAGATTTCCTGTGCTTCTGAGTGCTGTCTTGGGATGCTCTCCAGAGATAATCCTTCAAGATCGTTATTACATCTCTAGCAATATTCAGTGTAAAGCAGTTGCACTGCAGTGTAGGTTCTGGACTTCTATCAAGAAGCAAGTCATGAATCAAATTAAGTAGAGCTAAAATACAGCCCTTTTTACATGCATCCATTACATATGGTGGACAGGATGACTTCTTTTGTTGTATCCTTCACTTTGCAAACCAAATTATGTCTTGGTTGGGCAAAAGACAAAGGGTTAAATAAGTAGAAAAATCTGGAAAAAGTTGTCCTGTCATTACTGTCCTGGGCAGTGAACAGAGGTTGGGATGCTTGTTTTGTGGGCTGCTGCTGCAGAGGCTCTGCAACTCTGCTTGTTGCCAGCCACAGAAATGGAAGTTTCATTTTAAGAGCTTAACCGTTGTCAGTCTCTGCTTCTTCTGAGCAGATATCTGTGTGGTGTAGTTTTTGTAAAATCTCATCGGAAAACAGCCTGGAGCAGTGTTGGGCTATGTATCCTGTGGAAAGTGGAGGTGGACTAGTCTTGTTACTGTCCTGTCTGAAATCAAAAAGATCAATAATAATTCTTCAATGGAAGACCTAAGAGGAAGTAGTAGTTTATATATACCAATATGCAGGACAAGCTGCCCCTTTATTTTTACTAAGGAAGATGAAAAGATTATATCTTCCTTTGGAAAAGCAAGTAACAATGATACTAGGAAAAAATTGCCTTCACCCTTATTTGGAATTAAGATGTTTTTGATGAATGAGGCAAAATGTGAGAACCTGGGAGTGAGGAGGGAGGATAAATATGGAAAAGCAGGACAAGAACTGAATCACAGCATACTGTTTCTGTAGAAGTGTATGAACCTTGTTATGG